CCCCCCCCCCCCCCTCTCATTCTCTTTGGTCCTCTTTTCAAATTTCTTTTACGGTATACATACACACGTTCATATATAAGCACGCATCTGTCTGGAACTGGAGAGAGAGAGAGAGACGCATGAATCTTTGACAGAACAAGAGAGAGACAGAGTGTCAGAAATTGTGTAAGCTCGTGAAGATTCTTCGTTATCAAATCGTTATTGGCGGAATCTTTTCCTTCCTCTTCCACAGCAAGAATTCGTCACCTCGCCATTGTTGAAAGCTTTAGATATTCTCCGGCCTTCGGAGATCTGTTTCAGTTTCCTCGTCGAAGAATGCCACTCGGGCGACGTAACACGTCGTCGTATCCGGAGTCCGTCTCCGGACGATCCGACGGCTAGAAACATTTCTTGATTCTCCGACCGTGTCGCCGCCGATCGATCAGCCGACAAGAAGATAAAGGTATGCGTCTCTTTCCGTATGTTTTGTTCTCTTTTCTCAGTTCGAGTCTGGGTTTAAGCAATTCAGGAGCAAAACCCAAATTAAAAAAAAAAAAAAAACTTTCTGGGTGTTTCAGTTTTCACCACTTCTCCTTCGAATTTCTGGATAATCATCAGAAAGGGAAATTCTTTTTTTTTTCCCCCGAGAATATTAAGATGGGCATGTGGAAAAAGATGGGGGGAATATTAAGAATCTACGTCGATATATGCAAAGTACAAACGTTATTCGTTGTTTGATTACCTGGCGCACGTGGAAGCAAGCACTTCTGTTCCACGGGCCCACAGTTCCAACCTACAACTCACTTTCAAACTGAAGTTCATTGTCCCCCGGATGACATATAAACTAAAAACCATATGGGCAATAAAAAGGTTGTTCGCGAGATTATTGATGCCTGTTCGATATAATTAGTTGGCTAAATCGACCCATTAATAATGCAATTGCCAGCTAATTTGCCGATTAGACCAGTTTTATTTATATCTTTTTTCATGAGATGGGTCAAAACAAATTCGCAGAGTTCACGTCTCTAATTACCCGATTTTTAGGGTTTTTGTAGGCTTTGCAAATTCGATGTACGTTGTTTTGTTTCGTCGTTGGATTCGTCTTAATAAGCACAACGGTCCAAAAAAGAATATTAACGTGGTGGCAGAGCTTTTTCTCATGTCTTTTTCACAAAGGGCTACAACACGAATAGATTCATTACGTAATCCTCGTACTGTCTCTGGCAGGTTTCCCGACCATGGCGACAACGTCTGCGGTGGCCGGAAAAGGCATCGGCCTTCACCGGTCACTGTCCGGTCAAGATCTTATCGTGAAATGCTGTGGTATCCCGAGGTCCAATTCCGACAACCACTTGTCTTATCACTCTGTGAACCGGATTCGAGCTATGTCCACCCGTCCGGGACTGAAGAGCAGCCGTTCCGCCGGCGTGTTTTCCTTTCAGTTATCGAGCTCTATAATCCCAAACCCGATAAAGTCTTTGCTGTTCGATCCCAAGATAGATGACGCCATGGAAGCGAATCTAGAGATGGGAGGTGAAGGAGAAGAAGTGGGAGCAAAGAGGGCGAATTGGGTGGAGAGACTGGTCGAGATAAGGAGACAATGGACGAAGGAGAAGAGAAAAGAGAATGAAGATGGTGTTTCAGAAGAGAGCGTAGATGTTCATTGCGGCTGTTATGAAGGCGACTGTGTTGCGAATTACGGGTCTGAAGAAGATCAACAGGCCGAAGGGCGAGAAGGATACGATCGGGAAACTTTCTCGAGATTACTGGTGAAGGTGCCATTGTCTGATGCTAAGCAGTTTTCTCAGCTGTCCTCCTTGTGTTACTTGGCTTATGTAATACCCGAGATCAAGGTATTGCATATATGTTACGAATTAATGCTACGGATCCGTATATTTGTTCGGTGGAATATGGCTAATTCAAATGATAAACAGGTCGATGATCTCAGAAGATACCATGGGTTAAAGTTTGTAACGTCTTCCCTCGAAAAGAAAGCGAAGGCTGCAATACTCAGGGAGAAACTTGAGCAAGACTCCTCCCGGCCAGCCAATGTTTCTGTCCCTGAAGGAGCAGAGAAATACGTTGAGGAAATCCCCAAGAAGCGTCAGATAAGATCCTCAGCCGCTTACAAGATCGCTGCTTCTGCTGCCTCGTACATCCATCGTGCACAGGATTCTTCCGTGGTTCCAAACCCGCTGCGTAAATCAGCGGCTGCAGCTCAAGCCGCAGCCACGACAATGACAGCCGTGGTCGCTGCTGGGAAAGAGGAAAAGCGGGTGGCGGCGAGGGAGCTTCAGTCGTTATTGTCTTCGCCTTGTGAATGGTTTGTGTGTGACGATCCCAGCACATACACTCGTTGCTTCGTGATCCAGGTATTTGTATAAACTGTTATTGTGGGTTATTCCATTATACTTTAAAAAAGGGTCAGTGTCAAAACATAATCTTGTTCTTGCAGGGATCAGATTCCTTAGCGTCCTGGCAAGCGAATCTTTTCTTTGAACCAACCAAATTCGAGGTAAGGAAAGAAGGGTTCAGACCTGAGATCTCTCTGCAGCATTAAGAGATTACCGGTTTATACCATTCTTGCAGGGGACAGATGTGTTAGTCCACAGAGGAATCTATGAGGTGGCAAAGGGAATATACGAGCAGTTCGTGCCGGAAATAACCGAGTTTCTGGTCAGACATGGTGATAGAGCTAAGTTCCAATTTACGGGTCATTCTCTGGGAGGTAGTCTCTCAGTGATAGTGAATCTGATGCTGCTCAAAAGAGGTGTCCTAAACCCGGAGGCTCTGAAACCAGTAGTTACCTTCGGTTCACCGTTTGTGTTCTGTGGCGGTCAGAAGATTCTCGACCAGCTCGGCTTGGACGAGAGCCACGTTCATTGCATGATTATGCATCGAGATATTGTCCCTCGAGCCTTCTCCTGCCACTACCCTGACCACGTAGCCCTCATCCTCAAGCGTCTGAATGGCTCTTTCCGGACACACCCTTGTCTTAACAAAAGCGTGAGTATTACGTTTTCTTTGCTTTGTCCGAGACGTAACATTGTCACTTGTCTAAAGTCTTTTCTCGGTCGTGTTTTAACGCAGAAGCTGCTCTACTCCCCGTTGGGTAAAGTGTTTATCCTCCAACCGAGCGAGAGGGTCTCACCTCCGCATCCATGGCTTCCGCCGGGGAATGGTCTGTACGTTCTTGACAAGAGCCACCATGCGTATTCCTCGGCCTCCCTACGCGAGTTTCTGAGCCGACCTCACCCATTGGAGACACTGAGCCATCCGGGGGCTTATGGCTCGGACGGTTCGGTACTAAGGGACCACTATTCGAGCAATTACGTCAAGGCCATGAACGGTGTCTTGAGACAACACACGAAGCTGGTCGTCCGGAGAGTACGGAAGCGGCGGCGGCAGACGATGTGGCCGGCGCTGATGGCAACTCGAAACTCGTGAATTCACGGTGACGGCGTGCTGGCCGCGGATGAGATCATGACACGTGTCTAGTTGTTTGTGCTTGTGTATATATACATGTTTGTATTTGTTGTTTACGGTGAAGAGAACGAATATGAGTGAAAAAGTAAATAAATCAAAGATCTTTTAGACGTGGGAGCAAAAATAACATGGCAACCTAATGAATTTAGGAACTAATGATGAGTGGATGTATACTATTCAGGAAGGAGCACCTTTGTAATGTATAGTGGATGTACCTTTTAAAATTATTAATTATTAAACAAATATACAAAAATTTAACTCTTACATGACATGTTTACTTTTTTTAAAAAAAATAATGAAATTATATTTTTAAATAACTTTAAAATTTTGTTATAAATTTTAAATTTTAAATTTTTAAACAACTAAAAAACCCAATAAAATTGACCTCACTATGCCACATTTTGAACACTATGTAATCCTTTTGCTTCATTAATACAAACCTTTATAACAAAAAAAAAAAACACTTTGTATTGACTAGCAAATCCCAAAGGTGGAACTTGAGATTCATACTGTACTTTTAGTCCTTGATTTTGGGCCGTTACCGGCGATTCTTCTGTTTATTTCGATTTTGGGCCTTGAATGGTATACTTTGAATTAGGGCAAAATTTGCAGATGGTAGAGTTTTTTTTTTTTTTATAGCAAATGGTCCTTAAGATAGCCTCTCATGTTTTTTGTTTTAAAAAAAGCCTGTTTGACGTTGGGCCCTTTAGGCCCAGTGACCCAGTTTATCGTGCTGTTGCAACAGTACTTACTGGGCCTATAGGCCCGAAACCCCATTTTGAGTTACAAAAACGTCGTTAGCTAAGCCTAACGGAGGCCGTGGCGCCGTTAGAAGCCCGAAAGGGTGCATTTAATCTGCTTTCTGCCGGCAGATGTTAACGGCGTTTGCTTTGAACGGCCAGGACAAGCCCTAGGGTTCCTGCAGAAGCCGAAAGGTGAGACAGGCAGTGTGATCCAAATCCATGTACGTATCGGAGGGGCGCAACAGAGCATTTTATTGAGGTAATGTCTTCCACTTTCTCAGTAAAATCCATGAAAATTCTGGAAATGGAAGCTTCGCTGAGGTTTTCCTGGAGAAACAAGGCTGGGTTTGACGCCTAGTGTTGAGTTTCATCCTGGATATACTGAGAGAGAACTAGTACCGTGTTTTTCAATGGCGATCACTAGTGCGAAGCTTTTCGGAAACTCTTGTTTTTGCTATATGATTTGGATGATATTGTAGCAGGAGAGGGAACTCTTCACACATAAGGGTATGTTCTCGTGGCTTTTGTTGTATGTCGAATGTGTTGCTGAGAGAGACACTTCCTTTTGGCAGGAACTCCCTTTCCTCTGCAAATGGCTTGTTTCCGTGGTATCTCGAAAAGAGTTGGTCTTTTTCAGAGAAGGATTTACCCGTCTTGTGTTCATCTTATTGGTAATAATAAAGATGACACTGGAACAACTTCTCAAAACCCGGGTAGTGGTGAGACGATCCACAAAGTCTTACCTCATAATGGGACTCACCGGTTGAGCTCACTGCCCCAAGAGAGGCAATATCAGTCATTATTTGGGCCAGCCGGGTTTTGTTTCTCGTCTTGTAGGTATATGAGTTCTACACCGGTAGAATGGTCCGATAAGGTCGATGGTATTGAGTTTGTGACGAATGAAGTGATCCCTGATGGAACGATTGAAGCTGTGACAAGCCACGTTTCTGCCGTAAACGAAGTGGCTGTTGCAGCTGCAGATTCTGCTTATCCTGTTGCGGCATTGCAATACGTGATTGACGGTGTACATTCTTTTACTGGCCTGAACTGGTATAACTCTTAACTCTTGTCTTCTCTAGACTTTTCTCTTCGGCATCGGTCCTGTAAGTCTTTCCCTTTTGCAGGTGGGCATCAATAGTTCTGACTACTGTGATGATCCGTGGGCTAACAGTTCCCCTCCTTCTGAATCAACTGAAGGCTACCTCAAAACTCAATGTCAGTTTCGGTGTCTGTTCATGCAGTTGCACATTTGCTTCTGCTAAACAAATATTGTAACTTTTTTGTGATTGAGTGTCACTTTCTGCTTTAATCCACTTCTACGTATGTATCTTGTTCGTGCAGATGATGAGGCCACGCTTGGAGGAGATAAGACAAGAGATAAGTAGTAAGGTGCAACATTTACTGCTCATTGTCTTACCCTGTCCTTTGGGTTCAGGAACAAATTCTGATTCATCAATGTAGCATCATACGAATTCTGTTCTGGTTTCACTGTAACAGAAGATACTAGGTTCAGTTTTTAAAAAAGTGTCCTTTCTAGTACTTGTGGGTGAAGTTCCAATCCAACGTGGTGCTTTTTTTTTTATCATTTGTTTGAACAGTACTCTGATCGAGTAGATTTCCAGTGATTATTTCAATAATATGATTGGCGCTTATCTGTTGTGCTCTCTAGGCTATGGATCCTGAAGCCATGGCAGAAGGCCAGAAAAGGATGCAAGCATTATTTCACGAGTAAGTGCTGTTTCTCCATCCAGTTAAGACAGCTGCAAGAGGTGAATTAGTCCCTTCAAATGAAAGATACACAGTTTCTTTATTTACTGGTATGCTTCTATTTGCGCTTTTCACTTTTCTTGTTTCCTGGGTTGGCTTTAGATATGGAGTAACTCCATTTACTCCTCTGAAAGGACTTCTTATTCAAGGTCCCATCTTCATCAGCTTCTTCTTTGCGGTAAGCTGTATATATAGTCTAGTGTTTTAGTACCGGTTCTTATCATTAATTTCTAAACTTGTTCGCTGATTCTTGTCTACAGATCAGAAATATGGCGGAGAAAGTTCCATCACTTAAAAGCGGCGGGACTCTCTGGTTTACTGATCTTTCAATTCCAGATAGCTCTTATGTCTTGCCACTGCTCACTGCACTTACTTTCTTGATTACAGTGGAGGTAGGGCTTTAAGATTTCCTAGAATAATATGAATATGCTTTATGTTAACTTGTTTTGTTTAAGGTCTGAGCGGGTGCTGATCCTTGCTGGACTATTTTATAATTGAATATTATAACATAATGCTATTTAATTGAATTTGAATATTTTGCCAAAACCAGCCATGGTTGGATCCTTGAGCTTCTCAAATCTTCTATAGTTCAGTAAAACTTTCTTTTCAGTTATAACTTTGACCATTGTCTCCTAATGCCCTTTTTACAGCTCCATCTCTTTCCTATTCTATCAAATGCTACTAACTGCCGTCAGTCTTTTCTGTAGTACAACATGCAGGAAGGCCTTGAAGGGAACCCAGTGGCTGGAACTATGAAGACTTTCTCAAGGATCCTTGCTTTTGTCTCCGTCCCCGTAATGATGGGCTTTGAGACGGTAAGAATATGACCTACCGAATGGTGGATCTCAAAATCATATGTTCTGATACAAGTAAATTGACCATTTGGCCTTCATTCATTGGATTCAACTGTTCATCACTAAAGCAGCAAAACTATTATTCTTTGCAGGCATTATTCTGTTACTGGCTTACTTCCAACCTGTTTTCGCTTGGATATGGACTAGGTACGCCATTTGTGAACTTTATTTTTGCAGCCGATCTTTAAACAATTTTGATCCGATCTTCCCGTGTTTATACGCAGTGCTAAAACGTCCGGAGGTGAAAAGGCTATTGAATATCGCAAATGTGGACGCCCCGCCATCACAGCCTATGCCCTTTACCTTTTCGCCGGTGAAAAAGGAAAGTACAGTTCGAGAAAACGGTCCCACATCTAGCGTAGCTGACAGGAGAATATCCCGGAATTCAGTTCTGAATCAAAGAATCAAAACTCTCCAGAGACAACTTAAAGACCGGAAGAACAAGAAGTGAGGCTTTTCTCCATTTTAGGTGTAATAAGATCTGTTACCATCTCTCGGCCCCTTGTTTTGATGCATTGAAACTAAAGCCCCCTTCAGCGGCTTTATCATTGTAACATTTCCGGTTTCTGAGATATACGGGAAGATGGCAATTTCCCTATGGATGGATGCAAAATTACGTCCAAGAACTGGTGCTCCATCGTTTTGTTTTTTCAATTCAATTTTTTTTTGCCGTTGACCATGTGTGATCTTTAGATTCGGCTAGTAACGTGGAGTGACCATGTGTGATCCGGGCCGAAAACCCATGCGAGAATCAAGAAGACAGTCGAAGAAACCCTCATGAATGTCCCACATCGAAAAGTTCATAAATTATTTAATGGTGTTGTGGACAGAGCGGATGGGCTGAGTTTGTGATGGGGCCTGAACTCAGTAAAGTCCTCGGGCTCATATATACTGAGATGCTACAGGGAACGTTCTTCCCGCATTCATTTTTTTTTAATTTAAATAATTAATTAATACAACAATATAAAAAATAAAAAATCACATATAAATACCGACTTTTTATAAAATTCCAACATAAAAAATTTCATTCTATAAAAATCTCAAATAAAATATATGATTTTTTAAAAAATCTTATATGAATATTTGAACTCTATATTTTTTTTCAAATCAACCAAAATATGTTACCAAGGTTATTCGTATAAACATATTTCGGTAAAAAATTAATGTTTGACGATCGAAAATCTAAATCAGTATCATATCACATATCATATCATCTGCAGTAGTTTTGAAAATTAAAATAATCAAAGTGATTTGGATTTTCGATCGCCAAATCATCGTTTTTTTTCGGAATCTGTTATGTAAACGAACGTCTGCGGATGTTGATTGATTTGAATTTTTTTAGAGTCCATATATTTGTATAGAATTTTTTTTAAAAACCATATGTTTATTTAAAAGTTTTATAATTTGAATATTTATATGAGAATTTTGTAAAAATTTTGATATTTATATGCAATTTTTTTTTTATAAAATCTTTTGTGTAGATTATTGATCGGGGTAATCATCCACAGGGGAAAAAAACACACAAGGGTGGTTATTTCATGGATTTCTTTCTTCCGGTGATAACTCATATTTATATTTATTTAATCTTGTAACTGATTTTTAATAACTAATTAAATCCATCAAAATATTTATATAAATTACTTTGATCCCCAAAACAATATATCAAGTTTCAATAATGAGTTTAATCATACACATAAATGTCTAGATTTGTATTTCATGCCTGTGGGACGTGGGTATTTTCTATCACAAGTGGCAAGCACTACCTACATGTGCAAAAAAAATATGTTTATGGAATAAAAAAAACTAAAAGGGTCAGACATTTATCAACTTAAAAAATATAACATATTAAAAAAAACCCTAAAAATTACTTTAACTTTCAATTTTCATAAAATAAAACTTTTAACTTTATTTTTTAACAAATAAAATCTTAATTTCATTTTTCAGTCGAAAATAAATCTGAATTTTACAATCCTTGTGATTTTTAAACCTAAATGCTAACGTGACATATTGATATCTTGTTTGTCAAGTCAACACTTTGATCATATTTGACACATTATAATTTATATGTCCGATACGCTACGTCAGTTATGGATTTAAAAATAAAAATTATTATAAATTTTAGGTTTATTTATGACTTAAAATCTAAATGAGGTTTTATTTTACAAAAATTAAAATTAAAATTTAAAATTTTATTTTATAAAAATTGATAAATTTAGATATTTTTTTTGGAATTTTCCATAAATCCGAAATTATTAAATGGTGGAGACAGAAAATGCGAGTCACGTCTCAGCCCGAGAGAGATAGGAGTCACCGAGCAAACAATGACGTGTCGTCCACTTCCGTTTGTGGTATGCAATCGGTTGGGCCTCGTTTTTCATATTTTTGATTTCATACGGACGGAGGAAAACGTACACACGTCTCAGATCTGTTATGTCGTGTCCTCACAAAGCACGTTCTCCACGTGACTTAATTCATTTCCTTATCTCCAATCCCACTTTGCCCCTTCCCTTTTCTTTTTTGGAAGCATCGATGGGTGGGAAACGTAAAACAGCGTGCATCATTTCAAGCAGCAACAATAAAATAAAATAAAAAAATTGATAATATTTCAAAACTATGTTGAATTATTGATGTAATGATCGGAGATTCGTATAGCGTCAAACAATGATACGAAAACTGAGATTCCCCTAAAGCAAGATGATCTATTCGTTTATGGACCTGAACAAGAAAACCGACACTGTGTTACTACGTCAGAGGCTACCGGAAACCTGCGACCCGGATGACGGTAACGGCTCCTCGGAGCCGACTTCCGGGCAAACCGCCGCCATCAGCTTCTCTTTCGTCAGAACCTCCGACCCATCAGATTTGATCACGAACGTGTGAAACACCGTGTCGTTGATGAGTGATAACTTGGATTCCAAGACACTGACCTGAGAATTTCTGACCGCTTGAATAATTCTTGAAACGGGATGCGTATCCAGTGGGGAACTCACCTGCACGACAACCTCGTCGTTCAGGGTCTGGAACTCGACATCTGGAATCAAGTTGGAAGATTCCAGACTTGGGTTTGGTTCCCCTGGTGATGGTGAGCTTCCTGTCCCAGTCCTCTCTGCTTCCATGACCTTGACCTTCTCCTGAAGCTCGTTGATGTAAGCAATGGCGTCTCCGAGGAGAGACGCTTTGTCCATCTTCGAGATGTTGGGCACGACTGAACGTAAGGCGTAGAACCGTTGATTGAGCTTCTCCCTCCTCATCCGTTCAGCTTCCACATGGTTCAGTGGCTCTTCCCTTCCATTAGCAGGCTTCCTTCCTCGCTTTCTTGGCCTCTTCTCCTCCATAGCCGCAGCCGCTCTTTTCTCCAGACAAGAATCCAAATTTCTCGACACAGTATTTGGTGAGGGTTTAGAAGAGGCCGCATAATCAATCTGCATCTGGCTGGTTGGCTTTGGAGATTGGTGATTATTTAGCTGGGCATCTTCTTTAGTTGCGTTGACCTGCCCTTGCATGTTGCTATCCGTTGTTTGAGCTGCATAAAGAGCCGTCGTTTGAGCTGCGTGAGGTGTCAGAGCATGAAATCCATTCCTCGGACTTTGATAGCCTTCTGGCCATGGCTGAGGAGGAAACCTCTCATCCATCTTTCTTGATGCCATGTTCTCTCTGAAAGGAGGAAAGGCGTGACAGTGGTTCGAGTTCGAGTGACCCAGTTCCTGTCCAAAGAGCTTGTGAACACCTCCTGTGTTTTTCTCCACGTTGTTGTCATCATCTCTCCTCTCGTTCATGGGGTATGGGAAAAGGGTAGCCGTTTGATGCACCCTGGTCGAGAACAAAGACCTTACAGAATGAACCAGCTCCATGTTTTCAGGCAAAGACCGGACAGAACCGAGCTCGACAACACCCATATCCATGGGGACCATGACAATTGTACGGATTCCAGCAGACTTTGCGAGGAAGGACCTGAAGCAGTAATCGGAAGCAGTGTTCATAGCATCAGATATCCAGAAATGGTTTCCTGATGCAAAACATCTTCCAGGGCCACCTTCTCCGTTGGGGAAGGAGAAGTACATGGACACCAAGAAGAACATCTCCGTTTCTGTAACTCTATCCAATCCAAGAGCATAATTATCCTCATCAGATCCACCGGAGAATCTGTGCAGCTTCTGCAGCACTCTTTTCCTCATGTTCTGCCAGTTATCCTCTTCCAGTCCGCCATTGCGGGCTCCGACTGCTTCCGATTCCTCTTCCTTGTTCGGTTCTCGGCAACACCCATCTCCCCAGACAAGGACCAGATGTCCGGATCTAGACTGCGAAAGCTGCCAGAAGATTGCGTAGTTCCAGCTGAAATTCATCGAGTTTGGACGGTCCACCAGATCGGAGAGCTTGATCTGCAAACTCTCGTCGCTTCCCATTGTCGCAAACAAATTCTCGTTGGAAACCGGACTAGCTCTCAGGTAATCAAAAGCTCGTTGCCCTAAAACTGCGCTAACCATGGCCTTCTCTTCATCATCCCATCCTCGTTCACCCATATTCATCTCGGCTTTTATCTCCCAGAGAAAAAGGGCCCAAAAAAACAAGAATAACTGAATTATAGAGAAAGCCAGACCCAGCGAGGCCTTGAGATTCAAGAGATCAACGTAAGAACCCTAATTTCCCACTCCGAAACCGAACGCATTCAACAAAAAAATCTCAGTAAGAACTCGATATACTGACTGAAACCCGACAACCCAGGTCTCTCCACCTTCAATTCCCTGATAGACTGAGTCGATAAAGAGGGAAACGGGATCAATGGACGAACATGAATATCAAGCCGGAAAAATCGGAACTACCCAGAAAAGAATCATACACACCAGAAGCGAAGAATTCTCCAGGAGAGAGATTTCAATCACACGTAAATTTTCCCAGTAAAGTGATTGCGGCTTCGATTTCGAAAATGAACCCTTCTTCTTCGTGTCTCTACAATTTTTTTCCAGCCTAAAGATAAAAAAAAAAAAGAGATAACCGAGTAAGCTTCCGACGAGGAAACACGTAACGAAGAGTCGTCTTCTCCGATATGAAAACACACGCGCACACAAAAAAAAAAAAAAAAAGCTAGAGATATAGCGAAGAGGGGCGTGACACTGGGTTTGTATGAACCATGGTTACTTATGCAGTTTAAGTATGGGGGTTAAATGATTAACCACGGTTTAATCCGGGTCGGGTTTACCCGGTATACCCGATTAATGCCCAAACTCTGTTCCTCTTTATACGGTCACCAATTCCCTCACCGATTCCGGTAACAAATCTGTGCTTATTATTAGGCGGCGATATCTATTTATTTAATTTCATGATTTTATCTTTTTCAGTTTCCGCTAAATCATGGTTTTGTTTGAAGAAATCGTATCTATCTTTATCCAAAAACATAAATACGTTTATAAACGTTGTATACATACATATATACATCCTTGCGTTGATATATAAAACATACATATTTAAAGAAATGTATAGCCGAACTGTATTGGTAATATAATAATTCGACTGCCATTAGAAAACAAAAAAACAAAAAGATAACAACAACAACAATAATAATAATAATAATAATAATAATAATAATAATAATAATAATGATAATAATGTGTGAGGGGTCCAGTGGGGTTAGACGTTGGTTTCTTCACACGTTGTCTTTGGCGTGGGTCCATTTATTTAAGAAATAGAATATATATATATATATATATATATATATATTATATGAAATATGTTTTTTTTCAATAAAAAAATGATAGTCAAAAAGATTATTTGTCGCACGGAATGTGCGTGAATATCATGGCCAACAGTATAGAGATTTTAAAATAAAGCTCCCACCCCTAGGCCACATGTAATGCCTGTGACTTAAACCTAATATTTTTTTTATCTACATGTGTTTGTAAATTCTTCTTCTTTACGTCATTTTACTTTTATTCATATTTTTTTTTACTTTTTTCTCAGATCTATTTATTCCGTGTAATCAATATTTTATTCATTTTTCTACAACATTATCCGTTATTATATGTTTAAAATTCGGCTTCGCGAGCAACAGAAATTTTGAATGAAATGGGAAGAAAAGAAAAAAATTATATTGTATATTACGAAAAAATAACCTAGAAATGAACAGATTTTAGTCGTTATTTTATAATAATTACGCCGGAAGTTCATTGTTCTAACTATTCTATTAGACATCAACAAATTTTTTTTTTGTTAAAAAGGTAAATATTTTATAAACTATAGAGTAGTTTTTATACATAAACCGATCATAGATCGAATACCCTCTACAAAAACAATACCCATGTGCCTCAAAATGACACCATTACAATCACAAGAACGAGACAAACAAAATGTTACGCAACAGTTAACGATGTGAGAGAGTGACGTAGTACCAATCCGCAAGCAGAGCAGGATCTAACCTCCGAGAGGAACCAAGGAGGGAATGAATGCAGTTTCGAACCATTCCATTCAGCTTATGGCAGGCTGCATCAACTGTCAAAACTTGGTTCCGAAATAGACGAGCGTTTCGTTCCGCCCAAATAAAATAGATCGAGAATTTGAGGAGGATGAGGCTTATCAGACCTCTATTTCGGGATTGGCCATTACCTGAGCTTTCAATCCAACTCAAGGTTAGGTGAAGATCCGTCGGTGGATTATCAAAGATGAGCCTAGCAAACCGAGACCAGACCTGGTAACTATAGGAGCAGAGGAAGAATAAGTGGGCATGAGATTCTACCTCGCTGTTACAAAGTAGACATGTTGTGGTCGGGACTGCCCCCAACGGAATTGTGACAACCCAGAGTACCGTAGGAGGGCGGGGAGTGATCGCCGGTGCAGAGGCACGGACAAGGGGCGGCTCCTGACGAGCTTCTGGGTAGGGGGTACAGGGATGAATCGAACACACCGGAATGAGAGAGATCCGAGGGCTGTATATAGGTATGGGACTATACAGTCTAAGATAACATAAAAGAATTAGTTGAGCTACTCATAACAACAAGGTGCACCTACCTTTTTGGTTGACTATCCCGAGAGAACTCCAAAGTTAAGCGTGCTGGCTCTGGAGCAATCTCAGGATGGGTGACCTACTGGGAAGTGTCTCGGTATGCGTGCGAGTGAGGACAAAACACGCTGAAAGGTCTCGGGTTGCTGTGTGAGGGCAGTTTCGACAATTCGTAGCGGCCTCGGGTCATTACAGGAATAGCCTGTCGCGCGTTGGCAGCCTTCTTCGTAAGGCTAACCATTGAATAAACCCGTACCTAGGAACTCCTTCTGGGAACCATGCTAGCTTATGCCACGGTACAGTAGGTGATGGCTGGCGTAAGAGTCTCCATGTGGCAGATGAAGAGAAAGTACCAGTAAAGGTCACTACAAAAAAAAATGCGAAATTCCAACGGATTTCCGACGGCATACCGTTGGAATAATTCCAACGCATTTCTAACGGATTTCCAACGGACGTCTAACGGATTCATCCGTTAGAAATCCGTTGGCAATTTCCAACGGCATATCAACGGATATTTGAGTTGGAAATTTTCCACGTATATTCCAACGGATTTCCGTTGGAAATAACGTTTGACGAATTTCAACGGCAATCCGTTGAAATTATCCGAACGTTATGAAACGCGGCAATAATTCCGACGGATATCCGTTGGAAATAGTCGAACATTATAACGTTCGAAATATTTCAACGGATATCCGTTGGCAAGTGTAACGGTAACGAACTTTTCAACGGATTTCCAACGGATATCCGTTGGAAAGTTTCTCTATTTAAAGCACCCGGCCATAGTTCGCCCAAACCACTCTCTAAATCACTCTTATACTATTCTTATACCAAAAATTCTCCTAAAAATGACATCTTCAACAAATCCGAATATTCGTTCGTCCCGACAATGGATATACGAAAGAGTTGATTCGATTACAAAAGAGGTAACGCAAGAATTCATTAACGATTTGGAACAGTTTATGAATTCCGGCATGGATCAGAGATATATCACATGGACCTGGAAGAAAAGTCATTTGCTGGCCGATAATGTTCACCCGAGGATACACGTTTCACACTTACGATCATGGAAAACATAAATCCACGTTCAATTACGGAGTTTGTATAAAAAGCGGGTCATCGGAAGATCCTGATTTCTTTGGGGTTCTTCGTCAGATTTTCCAACTCCAGTATCCAGGATTAGTCGGGTTGAAAACAATCATATTCAGATGTGATTGGTTTGATACAACGTCGGGACGCGGCTCACGGAAAAATCGATGGGGAGGTATTGACATAAACCCGAAACGTTCATATGCAAAGTACGATCCTTTTATACTTTCAGATCAGGCAGACCAGGTATGCTTCATTCCATATCCGAAACATTCTGCGACATCGGTGAAACGGCGACGGGAAGATCAATGGCCGGCTGTTTTGAAGATTAACCCACGAAGATTAATTATCGTGGATTCGTCGTCGACAACACAAGATCTCGATGAGCCAATGCAAGAGCAACTCGAAGATCCGGTTCTTCCCATCCGACTAGATGATGATTACGACGAGACACTTGCACTTCCTGACATAGACGACGAGTTACTTGATGATTCGTTACACGTACAAGACGATATAGACGAATTCGTTTCGGACCATGATACAACTCCGGATGATGAAAGTGATGAAGATTCTATATAGACTTATTTGTTTTTATTGTTTTCATATGTATTTGTATTTTGAAAAATCTATCATATTTTTTTGTATTTTTTTTTTTAAAAAATTTTAAATTCCAACGGGCATCCGTTGGAATCAAATCGCAGAATTCGAATGATCGCATATATTCCAACGGACGTCCGTTGGAATCGAAGCGCACCAATCGAATCGACTCCAGAATTACAACGGATATCCGTTGGAAAGTTCCAACGGACACCCGTTGTAATAGTTGAAACATTGAATCTGCTGATAAATTCCAACGGATGCCCGTTACATTCTTAATTTCCAACGGGCATCTGTTGGAAATTCTGAAGCATTAAATCCGTTCGACGCACCTGGCGTCCATCGCGTCATTCCAGAATATTTCCAACGGATGCCCGTTGGAAATGAAGATTATAACGGGCATCCGTTGGAATTTATCAGACCAAGATCAATGCGCCCAGAAAATTCCAACGGATGCCCGTTGGAAATCCGTTGGAATTTTCGATTATATAAGGGCGAGCGCCCATTCTTCCTCATCATTCA